GCAAGAGCCACGTTAGGGAACTTTGGGGGGAGAAAAAAACCGGAGGAGGGTCCCGCAAGAGCCACGTTAGGGAACTTTGGGGGGAGAATAAAACCGGAGGAGGGTCCCGCAAGAGCCGTCCAGGAGCGGCAGGTGCATTTGGGAGTTGCGTGTTTCGGCTGGGGCAGGGCTTTGGGGGGGGACTGATTGGTGGGGTTCTCCTGCTCATCTGGACCTTTTTCTGTATTGTCTGTGGGTCTGTTCTACAGACAGAGGGGAATGCTGCTGTTTTTTATGGGCCAGAACCAAGTCTCAGCCTGGGAGGGCTGAGCAAGGGCAGAGGTGGGTGCCCAGGAATGGGCTCCCGGTGTAGGCGGTAGTAGGGCCCGGGGGCAAACCGGCTCGGGGCAGGGGTGGGTGCCGGAGGCCGCTCCTAGTCAGCTTTCGTCACTCTTAACAAAGAGACAGGTGGGAAGCAATTGAATTTCCAGAACACACATCTCTTCCAGTGGTGAAACAGGTATCCAGTCGGGGTCTACTGGGTGTGGGTCTGGTGGGGGCCTGAAAGAGGAAGATGAGCCTCCCCGGGCCCCGAGGGATGGGGTAGGGCTTGCCGTGTAGGAAAGGGAGCTGGCGCTGGGGCTCGGCCTCTGGGGGAGAACGGCTTGACGCTGTCCTTCAGGAAAGAAAGGGAGAAGCCTGGAGGCAGACGGCTCTGCGGTCTGGTCTGGCCCCGCGTGGGGCTGGTTCTGCCCCCTGCGCCCCTGGCAGTGACCCCGCAGGCACATGACCCAGTTGCCATGTTGCAGAAGGGCCACAGCAGTCTCTGTGCTGTGGGATTTGAGGCCTGGACACCTCAAGGAACATGAGGCGGTGGCTGAGCCTGCCTGCCCCTACCCCCTCGCAGCATGGCATCGTGACGTTGCTGACAGTAAAGTGGTAAAGGAAACATCCTTTTTCCTTGGTACAAAATATTATTTCCCTGTCCTTTAGGACATTGTATGCTCAGGGAAAGGGAAGTCGTGGAGGGTCCACAGGAGGAAACTGGAGCCGAGCGCCAGCTTGGAAAGGGAGAGGAGAGCTTTTCTAGAAAGGGAAAAGTCGGTGAAGTTTGCTGCAGTCCAGGCAGGCCACGTGACCGTGCGCAGCAGCCCGCCTTCCCGTCCAGAAGACTGGTGGGGAGCTGAGCTGTTAGGCCCAGGGGGGCCCCCTGGTGGCAGTGGGAGGTAGGCTTGAGCTGGGCAGAAACTGCAGCTCTAAGGCTCTAAGTCTGGGAGTGCCCGCGGCCCTGGGGGCGGCACCGAGGCCCTGCGGACACCACCCCTCTCTCACCCTCATTCTGGGTGGTGCCCAGAGTAAACATGATAGCTAGGCCCGAGTTAGATGATCAGAATGAGGGTCCGGACGCGGGAAGTGGCCCAGCAGGTCTGACTCTTGAGAGCCGTTCCAGAGAACACGTTTGAGTTCGGTTTACGGGATGGTGATAAAAGTGCCATTCTCCTGTTCCCAGGGACTCTGGCCTAAAGACTCACCGACGGTACTCGTGTGCAGAGGCGGCCAGCACTGGGTGTCGGCACCAGCCAGTGTCCGAGATGCGCTGGGAGGGGCAGGCTGTGCCCTTGCTGAGCTCCTGGACCCGCTCCTTGGTCCCTCGTGGGGGCGGGCGGTCTCCCGCACGCAGCGACCGGGCTGCGCCTGGTGTGGCTGGTGGCGGTGCCCTCCTCCTGCTGGGCTGGGGAGGGGCCCCACAGGGCGTGCCTCAGGGCTGGGTTGCAGCAGCGGGTGCCCCGCGGCCCCTGGGCCGAGGCTGGGCTCTGGGCTCTGCCCTCCTTTGGCGAGTGCCTGTTCTCCAGAGGATGTTGGAGGCCTGCAGGGGACAGCCCTCGGTCCTTACCAGCCCCCACTTCATCTCCTCATCCTCATGCTGTGAACGGCCTTGTAGCTGCAGAGACCGTCTCCTGGCATGAGCGGCCTGTGCCGCGTGGTGCTTCGCAGAAACCCCTCTCCTCTGGCCTCCAGGGCTCTGGGCTTTTTCAGCTGCGCAGCGGGCCTGGGGTCCGGCGTGCTGTTTCTCAGTCCTGAGGCCGCTGCAGGTTTTGGTCTCGTAACGGGCTGCTGTCTCCTTGCTCAGGCGACGACGGGAAAGGAGCCCCTGTGTTCACGGGAGAGGCGGACTGCACCTACTTCTTCACATGGGCCACCAAGCACGCCTGTGTCAAGGAGAAGGAGGACCTCCTGTGCGGCATCATCGACGGCAAGAAGCGCTTCGACCTGTCTGCGCTGGTGCGGCACACAGGTGGGCTGCGCCTCGCTGCGGGGCGCCCCGGGGCGCCGTCACCGTGGCCTGTGGCCGCCAGCTGGCATGTCGCGGCCTCCCCTTGTCCTGCCACGGGAGGAGTGGCTCGCTCCCCACTCCCGTCCTGCCTGTGTGTGACCTTGACCCTGGCGGGTCCCTGGTCTGCCAGTTGGTGGCCTTGCTGTGCAGCTCTCGGCCATGAGCGGCCCACCGCTGATGGGCTGTGGGAGTTCCCTGGACCCCCACCTGTGAAGGAGCCACGTTAGCATCTGGAGTCCTTCACGCGGGACCGGTCAGCCCCTCTCCGACCCGCAGGGGCAGGTGCCTTCCTTCTGACCCCTCGGGTCTCCAGCTGTGTCTTTGGCGTGAAGCACAGGTCCCCTTACACGCCGTCCCCGTGTGATGGACCGGCCCCGTCTGCGCTCCGGGACCATGCAGACCTGACTCACGTCCGGGGCTGGGACCTGGCCTTCAGTGGCCGGCGCTGCGGCCTTCCCGGCCCTGATTTCACCTGTCGGGGTTGCGGAGAAGGTGCTGCGTTAGCACTCTGTTGAGCCCGCCTTGAGGGTGAGCGGCAGCAAGGGTTGCGTCTGAGCGTGAAGCGACCCCGTGCCTGCGCCTGCCTGTCCCAGACGTGAGCGCGTGCAGTGCCTCTGCCCTCGCTGAACCGCCCTGTGGGCGCCCTCACAGCAGTGGTCGCTGCCTTCGGTAAAGACGCGGTTGTTTTTCTTTCTGATTGCAGAAACGGAGCAGAATTGGGAAGCTGTGGACGGCAGCCAGAGCGAGACCAAAAAGAAGCACCTGTTCATCAACGTCTGCCACCGGGTGCTGCCGCGGGGCGCGGCTGGGGGCTGCCCCGCGGACGCGGCCGTGTGCGCTGTCGGTGGGTTGTGGCGCGGGCGCGTGGCCCGGGTGGGTGTGGAGCCTCCCCGGCGCCCTGCAGGCCTGCGAAGCGTGTGGGAAGGGGGACGGTACCACTCCGAGGTGCCGTGGCGGCCGAGGGTGGGACCCACAGGGTGCGCTCAGAAGAGACAGCAGACAGGGTCTTGAAGTGCTTTGCACTGTATGCGGATAATAGTGCGTGCTTGTGTCGTGTGTACCCCGAAACTGAAACGAGGACGTTTGCAGCTCTGCGCTCGGGAGCCATGGCTGTCGGGAGCCCTGGGTTGGCCGGGCCCTGAACCTGCCGCCAACCTTAGCTGCGGCGGCCTCACCGGGCTGGGTTTTGGGGTTACCCCTGCTCACGGCCTTAAAACAGGCCCAGGATGTCCATGCCTTGATTTCCGGGGGGCCAGGGGACCCAGTTTCAGAGCTTTCTGCTGACAGGCCGGCTGCCCGGCTGTGCGGTCAGCAGCGTGACAGGCCCCCTGCGCAGCCCACGGGCGGATTTCGTGTCTCCTCCTCGGCTGTAGGGCCTGGGCGGGCTGGGGAGAGACCGCGTCTCGAGCCCGCCCACTGTGGGGCCGCTGCCGCCCGACGTGCGAGTGTGCGTGCTGTGCCCCGGCCCACGGTCACCCTGCTTATGCTGCTGCTGCCCGCCGGGCCGGCGGCGGCCGGGGCCCGCACTGTGCCTGCCGCCCTGCACTGACCGCTTGGCCGGCCGGCCGGCCTCGCCCCCCTGTGGCTGCCGTGGGCGCCTGCCACAGCGCTAACCGAGTCTTCGGACGGTCCCTTTTCTTTCTCTTTTCCAGATAAGAATGGGAGTAAAAGTCTCGGCAAATTCCTTTCTTCTCCCACAAAAGAGAAAGGAAGCATCCAGCTGTCCTACACGGACGGCGACGAGTGTGCTCCCGGCAGGAAGACGGCCACGAACATAACGCTCATCTGCAAGCCAGGTAGGGGCCGGGCGCCCCGCGGCTCGTCGCTCCTGGTGGCCATGCCGGGGTGGTCCGGGGGAGAGGCGTGGCGGGCGTGTCAGGTTCCAGAATCTTCTGTGGGGGGACATGGCCGCTCGTGCTTCCTCCCTCCCCCACTCAAGCCTGTCCCGAAATGGAGAAACCAGGTGGTGCCCCAGGGACCCTGTCATCATTGTCCGAGTGACGGTGGCCCCAGTTTCCTCTTCCTGACAACCGCCGAGGCCGACCCTGCCGGCGGCGACTTCCTCCGCAGGGGAGGCTCTTTGCTCCTCTCCAGGCCCTCGTTCGGCCACTCCGGCCATTGTTTCGCTTCCCCTCGCCCCGGCGTCTGTGGCTGATGCTGTCAGAGTCGGTCGGTCCGCGTGTCGCGTCGTCCTCAGACGCGTGTCGTGGGTGTCCGGGCTGTGCGGCGGCGGCTGCCGCCTTGAGGCGCTCCTGGGGGGAGGTCCGGGGGCTCCTACTTTTCAGCGTCTCCGCTGGTGTGTGAGTAGCATGTTTGCAGGGTGGTGCTGTCACCACAGCCTGTCCGCCCCTGCCGAGATACCTCCTTTGGATTCGCTCCCAGCTGTGCTGGCACCTCAAGGGCTGCTTTTAAAATTGTGGGGAGACGTGCAGAATATCAGCGATACCGCCAAAATAATGGTGGTAACGCACATGTAACGAGAGCCGCTCGGACCACCCTCTCAGTGTCCCCCAGTACCCTCGCCGTCCCCCCGGGGGCCCCCGGTGCCACGTGGGAGCCCCCGTTCCTCCCCGGCCCGCACCCCTCCCCTCGGCCGCCCGTCCTACGTGCGCACACACAAGCGGAACAGTCTGGTAGTCTGTAAACAGGCTGGTGTTCAGATGGCACAGGATGCACTCACGTTATTTTATAGGCTATTGCGGAAATGGCAACTCAAAGGGTGACGTCTGAAAATACCTCGGAGGGCCTCAGCTCGAATGCTCGGGGTCAGGCACCACCACACCGCCTGTTTTCACGCCAGCAGTCCACGGACCTGGCTTGCCGAGTGTGTGTGTGTCTGTGCCTCCCTCGCGCTCGCTGGGCCTCCCTCCCCCGCGGGAAGGCGCCTGTCCTCCTCTCCAGACCCGTCCCGGCCGTCAGGCCGTGCTCACTGCCGGCTCTCGCGGCGGGGTGTGTCCTCGCCGTGTGCGTGGCCGCACGAGGGCGTCCTGGTGGGGCGCGCGCAGGCGGTGGGGGCCCCGAGGAGGCTGAGCGCCGGTCTCCCCGCAGGCGACCTGGAGAGCGCCCCGGTGCTGCGGGCCACGGAAGACGAAGGCTGCTTCTACCAGTTCGAGTGGCACACGGCCGCCGCCTGCGTGCTGGCCCGGGCGGAGGGCACCAACTGCTCCGTGTTCGACTCCCAGGCAGGTGCGTGTCGCCACGCCGCCTCCCCGGCGCCTGCGGGCTTCCCTCAGGGCGTTTGCCACCAGTGATCAGGGGTGGAACTTGCTTTTAGAATTACATGGACTCTGGCCTAAACTTTGAAACTCTGGAGTTTGAGGCTTTGCCTGAGCTAACGAAAAGCCTCTTAAACTCACCTTTGAGGTAGGTTTGCCGAAGGCAGAACCCAGGGACACGTGGCTGTCAGTCCCGTCTGAGAAGGCGCTGGGCCTTGGGGGACTTCCTGAGGGGCCTCCGCGCGGTGGTCCCGCCAGGGGCATGCGGCAGCAGCAGCGGCCCCACTGGGGCTCCGGGCCGAGGCCGGGCGCGGCCGGTGCTGCCGCGTGACGCTTCGAGGGCTGCAGGGTGACCCCGGGCCGGCGTGTCCCCCGGGCGGAGGGCCCTGTCACCCCTTGACCACTCGGCTGTTCTTGCTCTTTCTCAGGGTTTTCTTTTGACTTGTTACCGCTCATGAGGAAAAACGGCACCTATAAAGTGGAGACCGACAAATACGACTTCTACATAAACGTGTGTGGCCCCGTGTTTGCCGAGCCTTGCCCAAACACCTCGGGGGCCTGTCAGGTCACGAAAAGGCAAGTGCGACCCAGTTGAGGGTCTCCGCAGAGGTATTCGGTGCTAGCGGTGTTTCACGGGGAAGTCGGCGCGCTCGCTCGGGCGGTGTTCACGACGCGCGTTCACACAGAGGAGACGCGGCCTGGGGCTGCGGGCCCTGCAGCCGCTGGCCGGGGCCGCTTTACTCTGGCCTCTGAGCCCTCCGCGGGTCTCTCAGTGTCGTGTCAGCTCAGTGAAGTGAGTCGGGCCTTAGTCCAGAGACGCCCGGCGTGGCCTGGTGTCTCTCCTCCCCCGCTCCAAGCCCTGCCTGGGCACGGGGGCGCGTCGCAGCCCGTGCCCCGGCCACTGGCCCGGCCGGCCTTCGGGGCACAGCCTCGCAGCTCCGGTCTCGTGTCTGAGACACGCTTGTTGGTTGCAGTGACGGGAAGGCCTGGAACCTGGGGCAGAGCAACTCTAAGCTGTCCTATTACGACGGGATGATCCAGCTGACCTACAAAGACGGGACGCCCTATAACAACGCCAGGCACACGCCCAGGACCACGCTGATCACGTTCCTCTGCGACCGGGAAGCGGGCGTCGGCTTCCCCGAGTACCAGGTGGCACTCGCCCCGCGGCGTGGCAGGGGGAAGCGAGGCGGGGCAGGCTGGGGGCTGCCGAGCACGGCGGGGGCAGCCTGCGCCTGCAGATGGACCGGCGGGGGGGGCCCGGGGGCCCCCGGGGCCCCGCCGCCCAGCGCTCACACGGGAGCCCACATCGCCCCTTTATTGAGAAGCAGAGCTATTTTGGGTCTGGCTCCCTGCCCAAACCATCACGTCCCATGACTTTAATGACTCCTTTCAGATGCGCCAGGGTACGCGGGGGTGCACAGTCTGAGCTGTCTATTCACTGGGCCTCAGTGAGAACCCAGAACACACACAGACCCCCACAGTCATCCCTTATTCCTGCTACACAGAGGCTAGATGTCCGTCCTGTTTCATTACCGGGCACGCGTCCTCTTAATCCGAAAGGCAGGCGCGAGGGTTTGCTCCCTGCAGCTTGCCTTGAGAGGCCGGGCGGTGCCCGCGCCCTCGAGGCGGCCGGGTAACGCTGCCCTCTCACCCCCTGCTCACCTCGCTGTGCCACTAGCAAGAGGATAACTCGACCTACAACTTCCGGTGGTACACGAGCTACGCCTGCCCGGAGGAGCCCCTGGAGTGCGTGGTGATCGACCCGCTGTCACTGGAGCAGTACGACCTGTCCAGGTGAGGCCAGCCGGTGCCCTTGGCCTCGGGCGCAGGCCGCTGCCGCGTCCCTTTAGGGCCGGCCGGAGCAGGTAGCTGGGCCCCGAGGGCGGTCCCGTCGGCCCGGGCTGCGGCCGCAGAGCGCACGCTAAGCCTCCCTGACGTCAGCCCACCTTCCTGCGCGGCCTCAGCCCTCCGTGGCGTCATGTGCAGTCACCGCTGGCGGGGCGGAGCTGTGGGGCGGCCAGGCTGCTGCACGCCGGGCCGGTGCCCGGCGGGGAGGGAGGGGCGTGCGCCGGCCGGGTCGAGTCCGGATCAGAAGCGCCCGCGTGTCTCCAACCCTAGCCTGGCGAAGGCCGACGGCGGCCAGGCGGCCAACTGGTACGCCATGGACAACGCCGGGGAGCGCAGCACGTGGAGGAAGTACTACATCAACGTGTGCCGGCCCCTGAAGCCGGTGCCCGGCTGCGAGCGCTACGCCGCCGCCTGCCAGATGAAGTACGACAAGTCGCAGGTGAGGGCCGCTCG